TATGTATGTGCTCAGAGGTTTACAGGTAGTTCTTAACTTACAACCCCAATTGGGACTGGAACTTTTGTCGATAAGTGATGAGGTTGTTGGGTGAGTCGTGCTTTAATACAATTTTTGACATGGTTGTTAGGCAAAACATGCTGCGCTGAAGCGAATCTGGCTTTCCCGCATTGACTTTGCTTATCCGAAGCCCCTGAGAAGATTGTAAATGGCAAACAGGTGACCTTGAGATTGCAAATACATGCCGGTTTCCAAAGTGCTGGAATCACAATCCCATGACCATGAGGACATTGCAATGGTCATAAGTGTATCGACTGGTCATAAGTCGCTTATTAAATGTTGTTGTAACTTTGAGTGGTTGTTAAAAAGATGGTTGTAAGTCAAGGACTACCTGTATAATGCAAAGGGAATGAAACAAATTGATCTCATAGCTTCGTTTGATTTGGAGGGGGCAGACACCAGTTAGGGAAGAAAAGAATTTTAACTTCTAGCAGAATTAGTATAATGTCTCATGAGAAAGTAAACAGTGTGTTTACATTACCTCTGTACATGCTAATGTGTCAAGCAACTGTTTTTATGTCCTGGTAGCTTGGAGTCATTCAAAGAAAATCAAACTTGGTTGTTTGATGTATTATTCCAAGGTCCAGAGTTCAATATGTTGTCAGGAATTCAGGCATAGATAAGCATGGCTGCATGGTAAGAGTTTGAAATCATTGATTCTTTCATCTCCCTTAATGAGGAACGTAGCATTAAGCTGCTGTTATATCTAACCTGTATAACCACCATGCAGGAATGTTTCACTAGGTTGACGCTAGACTGATTAGAGCTGAACCCAAAAAATCCAGAGCATCAGTTTTATTGTCTGTTATTCCTTTCTGGAAGATTTTCTTTAAAATTTAAAAAGCACCCTTTCAGTGTCCTATATTTCTGTCTCTCAATTGATATGACCCATATCAGAATATATTCTCAGTAACACTTGACTTCTAGTCAGTTATGATTAAGTAGGTATTGCAGTGAATTTAACCCTTTCATTACATAGTCTTTGATCAGTTAGGATCACCCACATTTTGAGTGGCAATTGGAGGGAACCATGGAGAGACACAGTAGCAACAAAAAAATAATTTTAATGTGATAGATCAATGTTTCTCAACCTTGGCTACTTTAAGATGGGTGGACCCACTCCCAGGAATCCACTCATCTTAAAGTGGCCAAGATTGAGGAAATGCTGTGACAGATTTTCATATACAGCAGACTACACATTTTCAAGCTTTTATGCACAATTTGAAATTTTGCATTGTGTCCTTGCCGCAAAAATTGTCATAGCGATGGGTGTAACCTACCACAAAGTATTGAGAACACTCTCCTTTTGTTTGTAAGAAGGATTATTTTGTATTGAGTGGATATTTTCTCTTCATAGTGCCCTTCTCTGCTTCCAGGCATCCTTCTCCCTCCCTCTGTCTCTCTGTCTCTCTGTAACAGATAACAGATAATCAGAGTTGGAAGGGACCTTGTAGGTCATCTAGTCTAATCCCCCGCCCCAGGCAAGAGACCCTATACCATTTCTGACAAATGGCAGTCCAATCTCTTCTTGAAATCCTCAAGTGATGACGCTCCCACAACTTCCAAGGGCAAGCTGTTCCATTGGTAATGTGATGACACATAGTCTCTCAAAATAATCCAAAGCCCAAAGCATATATTAAAGTCTGGTAAAGCCTTCAACTTAACTTCACTGTTTTATTAGGCACAGTTTAAAGTCATAAAAGTAAATAAGGAGGCAAACAGAAAACCCAAACAAACTGCATTGATGAGAGTTCTGAAGCAAGCCGAGATAACTAATTATAAACTCCAGGAAAATAACCGAGAAAAGTCCATGGGAAGAACGCCAGCAAAGATAAGCCTCTTTCAAGGTGAACACTAATTGACTTCAACAATTCTAACTGTGCAGTTGGAAACTTATAGATATAGCTCCCACCCGAAAGTCACGAGGAGGATCATGGTAATCTCCTCTTGAGTAGACCTCGCTTTTCCCTGATCCTCTCCCCCCTGCGTGACCTGGGATGGATAGGGGATGGGCCTGAATCCTCCTCTGACTGTTCAGCCAGCCTCTGCCCTTCCCCAGCCTCCTCCACCACCTCTGGAGCCAGATTCCCACTCCCTGTTGGCTGTTCCTCCTCTTCCTCAGAGTCAGACTCCACCAGGGGCATGACAGGTTGATCGGTCTCACTGTCAGAAAGTTTCTCCTTATTTCCAGGTTAAATCTCTCCTTGTTCAGTTTCCATCCATTATTCCTTGTCTGGCCTACAGGCGCTTTAGAAAATAGCTTGACCCCTTCCTCCCTGTGGCAGCCCCTCAGATATTGGAACACTGCTATCATGTCTCCCCTGGTCCTTCTCTTTACTAGACTAGCCAAGCCCAGTTCCTGTAGCCGTTCTTCATATGTTTTAGTCTCCAGTCCCCTAATCATCCTGGTGGCTCTTTTCTGTACTTTTTCTAGAGTCTCAACATCTTTTTCATAATATGGTGACCAAAACTGGATGCAGTACTCTAGGTGTAGTCTTACTGAGGCTTTATAGAGTGGTATTAGTACCTCACTTGATCTCTGTTAATGCAATTTAGGATTGCATTAGCTTTTTTGGCTGCTGCTGCACACTGCTGGCTCATACTATTTAGCTGGTTGTCCACTAGGACTCCAAGATCCCTCTCACAGTTATTGCTATTGAGCCTGGTTTCACCCAGTCTGTATATGTACTGTCTCTCTCTGTACCTGTGTCTCTGTCTCTCTCTGTCTCTCTGTTTCTTTCTCTGTCTCTCTCTGTCTCTCTCTCTCTCTGTCTCTCTCTCTGTCTCTCTGTCTCTCTCTCTCACACACACACACACAGAGCTTCCTCTCCTCAGACTTCTCCACTGTACTATCATTCCCAAACTTGCCAGGTATATCTGAATCTTTCTTACCATTACTAGCTTCAAAGTTTTCAGCTGGATACAGGACACAGTGAAATTCTGACCTGTAGCCTCCTACCATAGTTTTTCTTAAAATGTTGCTAATCACATATTTCAGAAAAAATGAACCTGGTGCTGGTGTCCAAAGATTAGAATTCGACTTTGGAGTACTGTAACTCTAACAGCTGGATAAAAAAATCAAGTGGAAGTGTCTATACTGAACCTCTGCACATCAAGTACCTGATCTCCACCTCTGACCCATGCTTAATCCATCAATATATGGGAGAAAACATTAAAAGAAGTAGTATACTAGCAATACTAAAGAGCAACAAATTAAAAAACTTAAAAACCCATCAAAATAAACAGTAGTTGTTTAGCACTTAAAAGTCTGTTGAAGTAAAAAGGATTGGGAGAAGCCCATTGTGGTCTTATGCAATTTTAATTCCTAACTTTCCTGAAAGTTTCTGCTTTTTCTAACTGCCTGCCTAATCTTCCACAACAACAACAGGACAGAAATCCATCCATTTTCTGGAATATTGTCATTTTCTCATCCATTTCAGTTTTTCCTTGTTTGACACAACAAGTTACTCAGAGTGAGCAGTAAACCAATTCCATAGATATTTATCCTCCCAAAGTGAGATAATCACCCATTTGTCTGCCCCTGGAAGAAGCTGCAGTTGCACAGCTGAGTAGCCATCCTCTCACAATAATGGGAAAACAGCAGTTTTTTGGCATCCAACATACTAATTTGTACAATTTGCATTCTGCTTATTTATGCTAGCAGGTTTACAAGGTTGTGAATGAATGAGGTCTGTTGATGTCAGTGGTAATAATAGTGAAAGGGAAGGGGGTTTGGAAAAGATTAAAATAAATTGACTTATGCTGACAAAATCAGGGATGAACCTTACAGAATATCTGGCATGTGTCCTAAAAACCTATGTACTGATTTTTTGTTTTTATTTTTGATAAAGTGAGCCCTTTGGAACATAATAGTACTGCTTGCTTTGGACCAAAACATTTAAAATAAAACATTTTGGAAATCAAAATATACAATTACATCTCAAAACAACTTTTGTTTATAAATAGACTTTGTATGCATTGGACTTTAAGCTCATTGACTTAAGCAGATCCACATGTAGTTTCTCCCAGGTATGATCAGTAGCTATTACAAGGCTGTTTTGTTCTACTACAGTGTGAAAATTGTTATTGACTAAAGATCTTTCCATCATCTTGGTTCTCATGATTCCAGACTAATGACTGTTATGTCTACTTGAGGGCTTCCTGAAAACATATATTCATTCTCCTGCTGTTCTTCCATAGCAATTGTTAACTTACAGACTTATATACCTGAACATGGAGGCTTTAATTAATCATTCTGAAGAACTGTCAAACCTGTTGCTCACTGAATTTTTTAAATCACAGTTTAAAGGCACTTTTAGATAGTAGCTATCTCAGTAACTTGTACATCACGTTCTATCCATCAACATTCTGGTCTGTTTGTCATGGAGGAAAAACATAAGACTCCAAACTTGACAGGTTGTGATTGGGGTTACCATCTTCACCTGTCAAGCAACCCTGATAACATTAAACCCATGTTTAAAATCAGCTCACCTAATGGACTTCTGCATAGTGCACTGAGGGAAAACTACCTGTCAGCTGTTAAGGCAGCTATTTTTAAACACAGGTTTAAAAAGATGTACTCTTCTGGAATAGCATTAAATCCATGGTTTAAAAATAGCCTTAAGGACATCTCCTGGATGGTGTGGTACAGCAGGAGTTTCAGCTGGTAGGCACATGGAGGAGGGGTTTTTTTTTAGTGTGATGACGGAAAGGCCTCTAATATATATCTCAATGAATGCCTCCCTCTCCCACCGAATCACAGAGCCCTCCAATGCCTATCTACTGGCATGGTGAGGTGTTGCAACAAAATCTTCCTGCTACTGGACCATGCAGACTCCCCACTCCCATCTCCATGTACCTGTCAGAATGATGACTTATTGAACTGTCCAGCTGTTGTGAGCCATTGCACTAATCTCTCTTACATGTTGCTTCTTCTGCAGGAGTTTTTTGAGAATCCTGCCTTTCGGCCAGATGGCATGAAGCTGTATCCAACTCTTGTGATCCGTGGCACTGGCCTCTATGAACTCTGGAAAACTGGGAGGTACAAAAGTTATCCTCCAAGCACCCTTGTGGATTTGGTGGCAAGGATTCTTGCCCTCGTGCCTCCCTGGACTCGAGTGTACCGAGTACAAAGGTAACATTTGACTTTCCCATGCTAAGTTTTAATAAAATATGGTAGCGCAACAGTGAGATAACAAACAGCTTGATTTTCTCATGCAGCATCTATTTCTGGCTCTATTATGCTCTCAGAATAAATGTTTCAGGAAATCTAAATCCTTCCACCATCCTTCACTTCCTTGAAAGTAACTGGCAGTGTTGTCCTTCTCCTGCTTTGTCATTTAGGTTCTCATCACAAATATCAAGCCATTACATGTGATTCAGGATGAATCGACACACCAGGCTAATGTTATGATAATTGTGGCTTGTTCTTGATAGCTCATCTGTGCATAACTACTAGGGTTCATCTCTGGTGAGTCACCATAGATTGCGGACACTTGCATCTTAGACAGATACTTTCAAATGAGCTTTGCAAATAGAAACCAAGCTGGGAAGGGGTAAGCGGTGATGATCTGTAGCTATTCAGCAAATGCGGATTGGCCCCTAGGCAATAAGGGATGAAGGGCACACACAACTGAAGAGCACATTCGGCAACAGAGAACAATGTTAGTATTAAACTACTATGTGGTGAAAGAATGGATAAATGGCGTTTTCCTGGAGTAGCCAGGAAAGGAGACGTTCAGTTTCTAGAGAAGGGCTCTCTAACTTGTGGCCCGTGGGCTGGATGTGTCATGCGCTGGCCGTGCCTGGTTTAGCGAAGGGGGGGGAAAGTCACGATATGTCACATGACACCGCCATGACGCCATGAGTTTGACACCCCTGTTCTAGAGGAAGGATATTGCCAAATTGCAATTCACTGCAGCCCAACCAGTATGATCACTAATATAAGATTAGAGGAATAGCAGCTTCAGAATATTCGGAGGGCCACACATTGTCAATTCTTACTCTACTATACATTCGAATGATTGCTATGCATATGGCAGCCAGTGACCCAGAAATGGCTAAACTATTTGCATAACTTGTTTTAGCCAGAAGAAGGAATGCATTGCTTTTCTTTTGTAAAAGAGATTGACTGATAAACATTTCAGAATATTAATCCCATGTTTATCACCACTGATTTTTAACTAGTGAGGAAGGGTACCCCATTTGTAATTGTCAGCACAGAACGTTTCTGATAACAGTTGATCTGCTTAAGGGTGGGAATTAATAAAAAGCAATGTAATTACCAAGTAATTTGTCTTTGACTCTCAGTTGGTCGAAACCATTTTGGCCACTTCAATGTTGCCAGTTAGGGGACTACCAGGAATGTTTTCCCACCATTAAAGGACTCTAGACAATCAGAAGAATGCCCCATTGATGGTAATATGGAACATATTTCCTCAATCTGGTGCTTTCCAGTTGTGGTAGATTATAGCTCATAAGATGGCATTCGTAGTGATAGCTTGAAATTCATGGATAGGGAAGCCTCAGGTTGGTATTTTTCATAACAGCTGCCCTGCACCAGCTAAAATACCCAGCTTAATGTAGCGGTAGAAGGAGGGCTCTGCTCTTAATTGTTCATTTGTAATATTGCCATGCCCAGTAAGCCTTACCTATCAGCAAGTCTGACTTGATGTCTTGCCTTGTTAAAAAAATTATTAGAAGAATCTTTGGGCAGGTAAACTTCAACAAATGGATCTGTGACGTCCCAAGTTGTCTTCGCTGCTGGAAAATCTAGTGAGGACACCTTAAACCTCTGACATCAATGGATAGAGAGAATAGAGGTTTGTCTTTATACTCATAAAATTTGGCATATTTGCATATGTGTGTGTGCTGATCTTGAGTCATATCCCTTCCTTACACAGAAACAAAAATATGTTTCACAGCAGATGGCCACCCAGGGCCTTTGGGCATGCCAGTACACTGTGTCACTGTTCCAAAGATGATAGACTTGCTCAGTGGGTACTGCTTATGTAGGCTACGTGCTAGGGTGCAAGAGTGGTTTTATTGACATCCCTGTGGTGAATCGTGCAACAGCCTGGCTTTACGTAGTATTTTGGTAATTGGAAAGAAGCACAGCTCTCTGACGGCTGCCTCTGTTCCAACGTGCCTAGATGGAAATTGCATTCTCCTCCAGTGTATCCTTTAGCTGGAGCAGGGAAGAGCTTATTAACTGTTAACTGTTACTGCCTGAAGACTGTTAATGTCTGTTGACTAGATGAGGTTGTATTTACTCCCAGGGCCCAGCTGAATAAATTAATGAGTGAGCTAATTATTACTGTGTTCCGGGGGAGAGGCTAGGTTAGGTGTTTGATGAAGAAGGGGGGGGGGTTGAGGGAATTAAGCCCCAGTGTGCCAGCGGGTGGAGAATCTGTTGTGATACTCTGCTTTATCGTATCACCATCAAAACTCTTTTGCTTCTTACATTCCTAACTTTTGTAGTATCCAGAACTTTTTTCTTCATTTTCCTTGCAACAAGAAAGCAGTTTTCAGCCAGACATATTGGAACTTTAACAGAAAGTTTCAGAAATGCTGCCTTTTTGGCTTTGCTTTCTCTTATACCTTACTCTCTTACATGTATGCCAGGTCTTCCCCCCCCCAAAAAACTTCTAAAATCCCTCTCTGTCTCAAGTCAATATCCTGGGCACCATAGTTCTCACCTCCAACCAAAAAAAGCCATGTAGATATAGCTTATGCCCATGAGAATGTTTATGTCTCTAGTCCATGTTAATTTCCCTGGAAGGGTGGTTTAGATGAAGGAAGGGGTTTCTTATCTCCCACTCTTATATTTATTTATATTTTATATTTCTTAACCATCCATCCCCTCCCCCAATAGAATTATAATTATATTGCAGAAGTGTAATTCCCTTTACTCTCCCCCCCCCCGCCGCCGCCATTAGAATAGCAATGAATTGGAACATATGACCCACAGTTAGATTTCATTGGGTGGCCTCTTCGTAATGGTTGTAGCATATTCATGTCTTCCTTTTCAGATTTCTCTTTCTGCTATGCCACTCATCATCTACTTGATCAAAGCTTATATTTAGATTTCATCTCAACTTTTTATATTATTTGTTATGTCTTGCCTTTTCTCCAAAATCTTAAAAAATATTTTTCCGTCAGTTGATCCTTGTGAATTAAGTTTGTTAATGATCTCTTTTGTAGGGCTGAGGAGTTGAACCTGGGTCTTGGTCCAAGTATAATACCTGAATTATTACACAGCGGTATTATCTGGATCTTTAGCACCTGTCCAGTTGTTGTGACATTTTTTGCCTCAAAATATGAAATAATCTTCAACTTTACTTATATGGGAGTTAAGCAAATTCTTGAACCTCAAGCTTGTAAATAATTGCTAATAATTATGGGAGTGCGATATTTCTATGTCCAGAGGCAGTGCCTTTCTGAAATCTGTCTCAGTGTTTCAACCTTGGTAACTGTAAGATGTGTGGACTTCAATTCCCAGGATTCTCTGGCCAAGTTTGCCAAAGTTGTGAAACACTAGTCTAGCTACAGAGACAAACAATGGGGTAGGATATTTCTAAGTTTTCTGGAAGCATTTATTTGGACATTTTGGGAACCAAACTTTGATTTAGTGAAGGTGTGTTCTAAATCAACTGCGCTATTCTTAACATTCATAGTTCAATTATTGTTGCCAGAGTAAGTCAAAGCACAATGTATATGGACAGGAAATAGATGGAAGCAGAAGAAGCAACAGTATCGTTCTAGATATTAATGCTTCTCCAAAAGAACAAACGTGTCATATTTGGAATTATCTCACATTTATCTGAATTATTTTAGCAACCTTTTTTGCTGTGCTTGTCATTGTGGTCATTAAGCAAATCCAGCTCTGCTCATTGACTTTGCTTATGGGAGTCATGTGATCCTGGGATTCTGCAACCATTGTAAATACCTGCTAATTGTCATCTGAATTCTGATCATGTGACCATAGGGATACTATGACAATCCTTAGTGTGAGGACCTGTCAAAAGTCACTTTTTTCAGTGCTGTTGTAACTTTAAATAGCTATTACATGAATGGTCATAAGTCAAAGCAATGGCAAAGACAGAAAACTTTCAATCAGGTATCAAGAACAACACCAGAATAATACAGGGATGAAGTCCTGCTAAGCCTGATTCAACCAAGTAGTAGTAAGCAAAGAACTGTTGTATTTTATATTTAAAGCATTGATGGTTATTTTTTAAAACTTACGTTTTTGTTTAATTGAGGGTCTGTTTCTTGCAGGGATATCCCAATGCCCTTAGTCACTTCTGGAGTGGAACATGGTAACTTGAGAGAACTGGCTTTGGCTAGGATGAAGGATTTAGGAACAGAGGTAAAACACATATTTTTATTTTTAAGTCTACCAGACTTGTATCTATTCTTATCTGTACCAAGTATGATTGCTTTGGTTTGCAAGATGTGCTCAAAGTCATCTGGTAGAGAGATGGGCAGCATACAAATGTATTAAATAAACATTTTCCTTGCATGTAGGCCTGAGTGCAGCAATAGAGATCCTTGAAGAAGGAATAGTTACAAATAGTGAAATCTTGTTTTTCTGGAAGGATATATATTAGGCAGCCTGAAGCCCTTTGAAACATTTGCCTCATCACAGATTAGTTGCATTAAGATTGTAATTCTCATCATTATGATGATGGTTAAATGCACTCCATCCTGTGTTGTGTTTTTTCCCCCAAATTTATGGAGGAGACCTAGGCTTCTGATTTTGAGTTTTTCTACTTAAATGAATAATCCTTATTCGGATAAGGGTGTGTGTGAAGGGGACAGTATCAGGATTTCTCATGAGCACCCATAAAGAATAGTTCATCTTACATATGAAAAGGTCTGTTTAGAATCAGCCAAACACAGGACTGACCTAAATGTGGCAATTTCAACCGAGGTTAGCCACAACATTTTCAGCTTTGCGGATCGGGGGTGGGGGGAGAGAGAGGAAATAGTGTTGTGTGGGCACATCCACTTGAATGCACAATTCCATTTGCACAAGTGGTGGGCACTCTCATGCCCGTGTGAAGCTCCATTTGTGAGCTCACGCAAATGGAAGTTCACATGCACACAAGAGTGCTTGGCACTCGTACAAATGGAGCTGTGTGTACAAGCATGCATGCCTGCTGTTTGCATGGCCCAGTTCGAAACAGGCTACAGCCCAGTACCAAGCTGGGGCCCTGGGGTTGGGGACCCCTGATATAATTGATTTATAAAAAGCTATTTTGTGTTTGCAGGTATATTAAAACAAAACCAGTCCCATTTAAAGTTCTCCTAGTTACAAGAGATGGCTTTTCTTTACAGCTTGAGTTATACAAAGATAATTATAATCTCTTAGGACTTGATTTGAGTGATTTGAGCCATCAATTATATTTATTCATGGAAAAAGGCTTTTAAAACTTTTGTTTCTATTAAGCAAAGCTCATTGTTGCTTGTTCTCCCTTGGTCTATTTAATGTATTTATATAGGATAGAAATAAATAATCATTTGGACCAAAAGTACATTTGGAACATTGAGAGCATATGGTGGATGTATCCTCCAAGGATAATTATAATAGGAGAGTGCTACAATGGACAAGGCCAGTCACCTACAGACAAGTTGTCTGACATACAAGTGACATTTATGAAGCCCAAAGGCATTGTTTCAAATCAATTACGTTTACTGAAGCTGGTGCCTTGCCGCATGCCAGGATCCTACTTATTTATTTTTCTTTTTAAAATGTTGGGTACTGTAGGAAGCCTAGAGGACAAGAAGTTTGGAAGTGTCTTGGTGCCCAGGAACACTTTCTTCCTTTCCCTAATGTAGGGAAAGCGGCTTGCAGTAGCAGAACCAAAATGTTATCAGTTATTAGTCTAAATTATCCAGGTTTAAGTTGAATATCCTGGGTTAATCAAGATTTGCATGGCACCTAAAGTTATTCAGGATTCACAGGAATTTTAGTAGAAAAATGAAGAGCTGTTACTTCCACTGAAAATCCCTTGCAGAATATAGTCATTGCTGAAGAGGTTCATTTGAGAATGGCTGAATTTAGGAGTTCTAAATGGCTTTAGGGTTTTAAACAATGCTTGATTTCTGCTCAAAAGAGATAATATATGTTTAAGAAGCAGTCTGCTGTGCTCAGATTTTTGGTTCTTTCAGCATTTTTCTCAAGCATTGCATCAAACTTCTAGACTGTTTTCAAGGCAGTCAGTGGTGTATTAACATTAAGCAGACTAAGCACATGCTTAGGACACCAGGCCCAAAGTTGAGAATATGGCTTCATTTGTACAGTATGTACAAAGGAGAGGGGCACCAAGATTTGTCAGTGTTTAGGGCACCAGTGAGCCTTAATCCACCACTGAAGGCAGTCAAGATATGAGATAGTGCGCTAACTTTATCTTGGTCCTTGGTAATCACCATTTTACAAATATCTAGAAGTCACATTCTTTCCCTCTCCCTCCTTCCCCATAAAGAAGGATCACAACTGTTATATAAGTAGGAGCTTATCATACTTTGGATACTTTGTGCCACTGATATCACTTGTACATCCAAAATCGGGGCCCACACTATTTGAAACTCTTGAGTTAAGAACTAAATGATTTATAGATCAGCTCTCATGCTCTCTTCTAGAAATTTTGGATTACAGTTCTCTTAAACTGTCGTCCAAGTCATTCTGCTGTGCTTGACAGGAATTAAACATGTGCTGCTTGTCCTGTTTTAACGCAAACTCACCCAGAATAAACAAGATACTTTTCGTCACATTTGAAAGATTCTTGCCCCTAAGTCCTTCTTAGAGAAGCACGGCAAGTTTCAGCCCCTAATCCTTCGTGGAAAGCACGCTCTACATTTGTGACAAATTTTGCAGGAATTTCTCTAGCTGCACAGCTTTAAATTAGCATGATCACCATCTCTGCTTCAATCCTTATTTATCCAGTGCAAAACACAGTTAACATTGGTGTCTCGTATTTGATGAGAAATTGCTGGGTGTTTTTTTAAAAATATCGATATACTTCTTCATGAGATGCAGATCACTCAAGGAAACCGGTGTCTGCTAATATATGCAATGGATGTGTTTTTATTTTAAATACCAGGATTTCCCTTCCTTATCCTGCAATTGATAAGTAAGCATTTTTATTTTGAAATTTCCCCTTCTTGTCTATTTTAACTTAATTTTCAACACTGAGGAAGTGATGGTGATGATGAGGGCACTATTCCTTAGCCTAAATATGTTTCCTGTTGCAATTCTTGTCTTCTTATCTGAAGCTTTGTCACTAATTCTTCCTATCTAGTGCCGTGATGTAAGAACAAGAGAGGTTGGAATACAAGAGATACATCACAAAGTCAGACCCTACCAGGTGAGCTTTGGGGGTTTTTTTGGTGTGTGAGTGTTTTAAAAAAAAAACTTGACACCCTTTTATAGAGGTTGAGATAGCAGAAATGCTTATCTTTGTTCCCAAAGTAACAAAAGGAACCTGCCTTTTATCAAACCAGATTGGTAGTCTAAATAACAGCGAATATGTCTCAGAGGTGGCATTCAGCAGGTTCTGACCAGTTCTGGAGAACCGGTAGTGGAAATTTTGAGTAGTTCAGAGAACTGGCAAATACCACCTCTGACTAGAGATTTTACAGTATCCTTCCCCTGCCATGCCCACCAAGCCACGCCCATAGAACCGGTGGTAAAAAAATTTGAATCCTACCACTGATATGTCTTGAATAAAACATCTCAGGTAGTGATTCTCAATTGGTGATATATGTACCATCAATAGAAAGTGAAACTGAACCAAATTAGGTGGGATGCAGAGTATGTTTAAATGTCCATCTGAGGAGAAAAGGCACAACTGCATCGCTTGATTCACTCTGCTGACCGTGGTTCACCCAGCTTTTTTCCTAATGCGGAATCCACTTCTACTCTTGCCCATCCTTGTCAGTTTTACCATTCCGGAAGAAGAAAAATCATGCTTACCTTGCATCTGCCAGAACTTGAAATGATGCTGCTGTGAATTTGCAGTGATCCTAGACTCTATTGCTAGCCTAGGGAGTTCAACAATTGCCACTTGGCACCTTAGCAGCAACAGAAACCAACAGAAGTGAAAGGCAATGTGTCACTCCTCTCTGCAGACCAACTGGGTTGTCCCACATCTATCCCATAATTCTCCTTTCTTTTATAACTTCTGTTAGGCACTGATCTTGGCATTGGCCCATGCATGCCCATTGACAGGAATCCAAATGGTCTCCTTTCCCACAGGGCAGCCTTGACTGTTGCAAAGATTTATTGGGCACTGATCCTTTCATTTTAACAGCTTCCTTCTAGGTAGAAACTTCCCTTTTAGCAGCCAGTAGTAGGAGAAGTAGTACTGGCTGAACTTCTGTCTCATCCATCATCGTTATCCTGAAGCCATTTTTTTTTTAGTATCTGAAAATCCAACAAGGAAACGTTAACCTGGGAGCCCTTTATCCAATCCTTTTTTTTCCCCATAACTTTTTATTTCTGTTGAGATCTAGGTTCTTTGGCAGATGCAGTTGGAGATATAGAAGGTTGAGAACCATTGATCTTGCACACTTTTTAGAGAAAAAAAATCATTCATTTTTAAAAAAAATGTTTATTAGAGGAAAAAAAACCACTTTAGCAAATAAAATTAGCATAAGTCAAATAAACATGTTACCAAACATCTCACCCAATTTAGGCTCAGAAAATTATTTTCCAATTCAAAAAGCATGTTTATCCATAATTGGGTCTGTGGTAGAAAACATTCTATTAACATTTTGTTAACATTCCAGAAAGCTGTGAAAACACTGCTTTTACAGAGAGCCCTCGGGGCAAACAAGGCTATTTAATTGGAGGAAAGTGCTGGGGGTGGGGGGGAGTTTCTGATTTATTGTGGCTACATGATGTTGCTTTGTGGTATGTTTTTATGAGATGAAAGCTGCCTAGAATCTTTCAATGAGACAGCACACAAATACATGTTGACATTATAAGATATGTCACAGTATAATCAGCTGTGGATGATAATTGCAATATGTTTTGTTTTTAGTTACTTAGTCCATGAATATAACAATCCACCGTGGAACTTTAGTCCCTGGTGTTAGTTTAGAAGTGGACAGAATAAAACAAAGTGAAGATGAATCCAGATTAGCTGCTATGGCTATGGAAGATGATCTTTCTGAATGGAGGTATTCATTATGTTCTGACCGAGGAGGCTCAGGTGGCAGCAGAATCCTGGAATGAATCTTAATAGCTCGGCTAATAAACTGGTTGCAGGGGAGGGGAGCCATTTTGCACTAGTGGCAGGTTAAAATTTCAAGATGCTTTGTGATGAAACTGCCTTTGAAGAAGACTTGCAGAACTGAATATCACCAATTGAATATTGGTGGGATAAACCATTAGGTTTATGACAGATGAACAGAATCAGCTGAACTAGTTGCCAGTGTATTGGTTGCTACTTTAAACTGCAAGTTTTTATTTATTTGGTTGTTTTATTTATTGAAATTTCAACTTTGGAAGAAGGTTAAAGTCAAGGGTAAACAACTCAAATTGCATCTTGCCCCCAGAACTGTCTGTCCTGCTGCTGCAACTTGGTTACGAATCTCCAAAAAGATGCAGCTGGTACAAAATGTTAGTGGGAAAGCTTCATTGGTATACAATATATCTATTAAATCAGTTGATTACAAATAGGTGTCTGGAATCTTTGCAAAGTGCTAGTGGTTATCATTAAATTCCTACATAGCATAATACCAGGATTCATCACACAACTCCTTTTTGGAATTAAATCTGCCTCTCCAGTCTAGTAATATATAGAAGGTTCTTGAGAGTTCCTCTTCCATGCGAGAAATACAGGATATAAATGAATCTTCTCTGTGATAGCCTTGCTTTTTCAACCTTGCCCTGGAAGTATGCATGGTCCCAACTCTACTTGCATTGGGAAAGCAAATTAAAACAATTCTATTGCACTCTTAGCTCAAGTTGATAGGGAGATTCTATCATAGGATAATATGGCAAATGGGTTACGATAATTAAAAGCAGCAGGGTTATTTTCCATTAGATGTTGATGGGAAATAAAATTAAAATCTTTAAGCCCTAGATTATGCTTAAAACATTAAACTTGAGAAAGCCATAGCATATGAGAGCTGTGGTGGCACAGTGGTTAGACTGCAGTATGGCAGGCTAACACTATTGACTATTGCCAGCAGTTCAGTCCTGAGCAGCTCAAGATTACCTCAACTTTCTAGGGTAGCTAAAATGAGGACCCAGATTGTTGGGGGCAATATGTTCTGTAAACTGCTTAGAGAGGGAGGGCTGAAAGCACCATGAAGCAGTATATAAGTCTAAGTGCTATTGCTCTTCCCAACATTCTAGAAAATCCTCAGTTTATATGAAATAATCCCAAGTACCCACATGCCCCGTTTTTAGCCGTGATGGCCTCCTGCAGTGAAATGGAGCTCATGGGGCCCCCCAAACCCCATTTTTGGCTGTGACAGCCTCCTGCAGCCCTCTGCCCAGCAAAAGCGAAGCTCAGGGAGGGGACGCCCGCCCGCCCCGAACTCCATTTTCTTTGGCAGAGGCACTGCAGACCGATCCTTTGCTGTTTCCAGGCTGGCCACGGGGGCCAGACCTAAGCACCTTGAGTTTCACACCCCTGTACTAATGCAAAACAAAACTCCAAAGAAGATACTGTAGGGCTGTCTTCAAGGGTTTCCTCTAGAGCAGTAACTGAACTAATCTAACAGTAACCAATCAGCAATTGACAAGTTCATCTTGTGAAAACCTCCAGAAACTCCATAAACTGACTCCAGGAGTCGGAATCATGGCTTCAATCTCAGATTTGGGCTGGCCTGCATGTAGAGGGGCTCTTCATATTCTAGTGGCTAGACTACCTATATTGCATGCAATGCCAGAAGTTGTTTAAAACCTACCCTTTTTTTAACTTCTGGAATGCCAAGAGCCTAAGAAGAGATTTTGATTAGACAAGCATCCTACTTTTTGTAACATTTTGTTCCCTCAATGGCCAACTATAAGCAAAAAATGCATACGTTGTGGCTAAGCATGATGCTTCTTCATATATTCTCAGCAAAAGGTGTTGAGAGGTCGCAAATGCTAAGGACTCTTCTAAGAAGTGTTTGTGTGATTTACTACAAAAGATGTTTTCCTTTAACATTTTAACTTCTGTGGAAAGACAGTCATCACACTTTTTGACTCTTATCTAGGCTGTTAAAAATCCATCTATTGGGAACTGCACATTGTGAAACTACCGGTATTTCATGCTATTTTTCTCCTGCACAAAGAATTACCTGCATCAACCATGAAATTGGCTTTGGTCCCTTTTGAGTGCTGCACAATTTTTATAGGGACTACTATCTAATATTGTTTATCAACCTTTTGGCTTTTCTTTCTCTTTTGACCAGGTTGAACTGGTCCGGAGAGACTATGTGGCCAACGGTGGTTGGGAGACCTTTCTTTCTTATGAAGATCCTGAGCAGGACATCCTGATTGGACTTCTACGTTTGCGGAAATGTTCGGAGGACACATTCAGACCTGAGCTGAAGGGTGGGGTCTCCATTGTCCGGGAACTCCATGTCTATGGGAGTGTAGTTCCTGTCAGTAGCCGAGATCCCTCTAAATTCCAGCATCAGGTAATTGTAAGCTTATTAAAATTAATGGTGGCAGCAACATATAGAATTAATCCATCTGCCTTTGATGCATATTGATTTTTGAGCTTTTGAATAGGGTATCATTTTACAATAAATATAATAAACATAAGTAAAGTCTCCTTTGAGTCAAGCTAAACTCTAGATGATCTTGACTTGTTTAGGTAATAGAGTGTACACGTATCTTTAAGTCAGTATTTGCTCCTAATGACCAGCCCCTGCAACTTTCTTGGCAATATTTTGGAAGTGGTTTGCTGTTTCTTTTGTCCTAGGGCTGAGAGAGAGTGGCTAGCTCAAGATCATCTACTGGCTTTGTGCCTAAGACAGAACTAGAACTCACAGTCTTCCATTTTCCAGGATGGTGCCTTAACCACTACGCCAAACTATAAAGAATTCTAATGAAGAATTCTATTCTATTCTATTCTATTCTATTCTATTCTATTCTATTCTATTCTATTCTATTCTAAACCGGCTCTCTTTTTCTACCATTTGTCTTCACTAAGGTGAGTCCTTACACTATCTATTTCTGGATTGATATCAGCTCCAACCCAAGAATAACAGAACAATACAGCTAAGACTCAGTTCTTTACTTGCTTATACCATATAGGCAGAATCTCACCATACTAAACCTATGCTACTCTAATCCTAATGGGAGATCCCTGGGAGATTGTGAGGAGTGGCTCTCCTTAATCTCTTTCTGTGATCCAACTCTGGGCTGTGATATGCCTTGTCTCATCCCTCCTGCTTGGAATGTACCCCCTCCTTCATGAGAAACTTCCTTTTCAATGTAATCCATCACACACACACCTTTAGCAGACACATTCCATTCCATCTATAGATAGACTTGGTAGAGATGATTTTCTCCACTTACATTTTGTTATGGCACTAAAACTGGTGTATTGGCAAGGGTATTTCTAGCTTAAATTTCTCAGTGACTCTCTGGTTTTCTGAGCAATGGAAAGTTCTTTTTGCATACTGTTTTATTCAACCCTAGGGGAGTCTCCACTTACAGCCTGGCTATGTTGGTAAGACCCAGTTTGCCTCATGTCAAGCCCAGATATGATAACATCCATGAAATAAGTTCTTGTCTTATGAGCCATGGTGGTACAGTGGTTAGAACGCAGGCTAATTACAGGCTAATTCTGCTGACTGCCAGCAGTTCAATTCTCATCGGCTCAAGGTTGACTCAGCCTTCCATCCTTCCGAGGTTGGTAAAATGAGGAACCTGATTGTTGGGGGCAATACATTAACTCTGTAAACCGCTTAGAGAGAGGCTGTAAAGCACTATGAAGCGGTATATAAGCCTAAGTGCTATTGCTATTGCCTTACCATAATACTTGTGTGTTTCACAATGTTTTTATAGTGCATTTCCTTTCCTTTACCTCAATTCTCTACCGTGTGGGCTGTGCAGCTGCTTCCCATCATTGCTTTTCTCTCAATAAATGGAATACAATTAAGTAAATATTAAATTAAGTGTCTCTTGGATGTGATCATTAGTTCGCCACCTTTGAGCTTTTAGCCAGAATAGAGAAATTATCAGCATGCACTTTATTTATATACCTAATGTTTTTGGTTCAAATCATTGTGATTTAAAAGGAGGTGTTTTGAAGCATTCTTTTTTTTTTTTTGGCTGTATGTGCATTAGAATGTGACTTCTGTTTGATGGTAATAACCCTGGGCAATGAGGCAGCAGCAATAGAGAAGTAGGGGAAAGGAACAGAAAATGAATTCTTACTTCCCGAAAGTGAAATTTCAAAAGCCAGGAGTGGAAAAAATGTTTGACGCATGTGGAAGACAAAAGGGAGAAAAATCAATTGAATAAAGCTAGCACTAATAAAAGGAAATAGATTGGAAGCGAGGTCCTGAGTGCATGACGCACAAAGATGGACTGGAGGAATGTAGCTGCGGTACCCCAGAAATGGCACTACAGTATTTTGCTTCGTCTTTCCCTCCTCCGCTTGACATGCCTAGAGCACAATAGAATACTTCACAGCACATAGGTCATCTAAAGCTGAATTCATTTATGGATAGATCTTCTTGGAAAAAATGGACTGGATTCTTTCCTCTAACCCTTTTCTCTACCTTGGCCCATTCCTGCTGGTACAATTAAGCAACACAAAAATATATTGGGCAGAATTGTTTCAACCGCACTGCTCTTCCTGGGCTGCCATGACCAGCTGCTTTGACTGCTGCTCTACTGCCAAGTCTACACCCATTTATAAAGTGGATATAACTCTCTGCTATCCCAGTTTACCTTAATGAAAATCTTAATGTGAAATCAACAAATTATACCAGTATCAAAATGATCGGACTCTGCCCTCCTCTCACCCACAGACTATCTGTCTGTCTGTAAGCTCTGTTTTTCAACCAGCTGAGCCATCATGTGCTCCACAGTTGTTGAGAAAGTCCATTCCTACACAATTAGGCATTTTTGGATATGTGTCAGTCCATTAGTAAGGCTGATTCAATTTAAATAAAATAAGTAACCCCTTTGTGGGCCAAACAGTGTTTTGCTTTCTTCTTTAAATTTAGTCAACAACGCAGGTAATATCCTGATATGTCCTGATTTAGGCATGTGGGAAATCTAGCCGTCTTAACAGGAGCATTTCTTAAAACAGAAGTGTCAACCCTGAAGATGACGTGACCGAGGCCATTTTGAGGTTTCAGTATTGCCACACTGGAGCTGGGGGATAGGGAGTGGGGGTTAAAAATAGCTTATTTGAGGAATCTACCTGCCTTGGAGTTCTGTTTGCTATGGAACCCTGACAGGAGGACAATATCAGAAGATGTAATTCTCTCATTCTAGCTGCCCCATGTTCCAACAGATGCTACTTTAAGGACTTGGAGATGTAGCATCCTCAGTCCTCTGATAGCTTAATGCCCCAGTAGGAAGAATGGAAAACATACATCTCCCACCAAAGATTCTAGCTCAGTATACTTGCCTTTTCTCTTTGTTGATAAAGGGGAAATAACAATGATTAGGGAGGTTTAGGTTTAAATCCACTCCACCCATGAAAGCTTATTGGTGACTTGGGCCAGTCCAATCTGTTGCACAAGGCTTTAAACCAGGGGTCCACAACCCTCGATCCATGGGCCAGCACCAGTCTGCAGCATGCCAGAAACTGCTCCGTGCAAACAAGGGAAGCCCCTCCAGTCTGTGGAAAAGCCTCTCTCCACAGAACCGGTCCCTGGTGTCCAAAAGGTTGGAGGACGACACTGCCTTTGACCAAAAGGGAAAAAAAAAAGAAGGATGGAATAGTACTGCATATGAGTAGTCCATGACTTACCACCACAGTTGGGACCAGAATTTCTGTTGCTAAGCAAGGTGGTTGTTAAGTGAGTCATGTCCAGCTTTACAATCTTTTGATTATTGTTGTTAAGCAAATCACATGGTTGTTAAGTGAAGCCTGCAGATAGTGATTATATGACCCTGGGATGCTGCAACCATCACAAATACATGCCATTTGTCAAGCGCCCAAATTTTGAACATGTGAACATGAGGATGCTACGTCAGTGGTCGTAAGTAAGAAGACTAGTTGTAAGTCATTTTTTTTCAGAGCTGTTGTAACTTTGAACGGGCATTAAACAGACGGTCGTGTTGAGTGCTACCTACACATCTTCTTGAGTTGTAGAAAGAAAGATGGACACAAACATAACTAATTTTATTGTCCCTCATTCTTTTCATCTTAAAGCATGTTAACCAATGCAATAGAGCCTGAAAAAGAGCCTTTCATGACCATAGATGTTCCCCTGTCATGATTTCTTATTTAGTTGACATGGTTGTCATGGTGAAAAGGACTGAGGGAACTTGGTAAAAATAGCTTTATTTTTGGAGGCAGAGCCACATTATATGTTCATCAACATGGCATGATGATTATAACTATATTGCCTTTTAAAAGACTTCCCTATCTGATAAGCCAGTTGCAGAAAATAATTGGCCCTATTTATAAGAGGTACATTTAATAGCTAAAATGTTCTTCTATAATGCTTTTTAGATGCAATTCCTTTTATTTTTAAGTTGGACTGCTCATCTTAAACTTGAAGAAAAAAATCACAAAAAATCATTTTCTTAGACCATTTCAAATCCTTCTTGAGTTGAAGCCACTTGTAGTTGGCAGATAGCACGGAATAACACAACAACAGGAAAATGAAGGAAAATGAAATGGTGATTGTGTTAATATTGCTAATTGAAAAGTGCCAGTTTTGTGTGCATCAATTGTTTCGAGTGGAGCTTGGTTTGTTTGTCCTATACAAAGTGAATTGTGTGACTGACAATTGAATCATAGGTGAATGAATAGTTATGAATGAAACAAATGAAGCCCCAGTTGTGTAGATTAACATTACTGGACCCTGTAACAATGGTATCAGCCTACACAGAGGATGCCATTAGTTGAAAATTGCTTTTCTTTGTTTCTTCTGCATCTTTCTGAGATGGTCTGTATTACTAAGTGTGCTGTCATTTGGGATTGGACAATTGTTCTGTAAGAAAGTACAGGCCATTCATTAAGCTCTGTGAGTGGAAAGGCTTTAGTTCCAAGCTGAGTTGGATCTCATATGTTTGAATTGGTTTTAGTTGAGAGCTAGATAGGACAAGTGATGTTCTGTCTTTTTGTTTTCTAAAGCTCTCCTGTAGTGGATTTTCTAGTGTACCAGCCTGGACTTGCTGATCAGGATTTTTTTTTCCAGTTCACTGACTGGATATGACAGTTTGAGAAATATCTAATGTAAATTGCTATGAATCTCTTCTTCATGGGTGGGCAGATAACAGCCCACAATACATGCACAGAAGATCATACTTCCAAAATTAAGTGGTAAAATATCCAAAGATGGAATTGGTTTGCTTCTCAGAAGTTTCCTGTTCTTATTTAAAATAAAAAACCTGAAACAACTGCCTAAAGGCCACAAAAAACTCAGCCCCCTGATCCTTCAAGTGATGTTACAAAATCCCCAGAGGACTTGTAAAAGGTTAGAACATAGCAATTGGA